ATAATTTTACATAGAAATATACAAATAAAATTATAACATTAAAATTATAACATAGACATTGATAAAAAAATGTTTTTAATTATTTTGAATTAAATAGTTTCTTGAAACATTTAAGCATAATTGCAATCTTTACTTCCAATAGCGTCAATTACTACTTTTTATTGATATGCGTACGTATCATAAATGTTAGTTTATGTATGCATTATAATCGATTATAAGATATACTTGAATCATGTTATTAATTAATGATTTTCGCACAACTACATAAATTTGATTTCTTAACGTTTCTTAACGCGTTGCGAATCAAACAGGCTCCTTTAAATTACATTTGACGATTATTGAGACACAATGCGAGCACAACTTAATTATCCAATAAAAGAACGCATACTCTTAACCGGTTGCTCTCTCAGTTCTCTTTAATCTCGACTATTATCAGTCTTTTACTTTTTTTCGGTACTTCAGAAGCATTCATCTTCGTTCTAAGCGCCTAATCGTTTTCCGCAGATTTTCCGGGTGATAGAAGCCAGAGAAATATCCGTAGCTTACAAAAGAACGAGATCTCGGTAAAAACGGTTTTAAAATAAAAAGGATGAAAAGTTCGACGTTGCAAAAATCGATATGACATTTTATCTGTTACAATTATTTAGCACATTCCAACGAGTTAGCACGTTTCAACGAACTTGTCTTAATCTTGCAAAATTTAAAAATAAAAGGAAAAAAAAAAGATTACATTTACTTGAATTATGCTTATTTTTATATCTTTGTAAATCCTTTTTCATGCAACACATATCCATTGTATTATTTTTTTCACTTGAGATTTGCTTTATGTTATGTTCTCGAATATAAGTAACTTACTTAGAATTTACTTTGCAGAACTGTGTTATGTCTCGTTATCATCCTCGCGTTTGAGACGACACTGGTGAAGGGTCAGCCGGAGTGAGTATACGAGCAGAGAACACCGAGAGATCATTAAGTGGGCCTACCACGAAAGCCCACAAACATGACAGAGGCATCACGGGATCCTGAGGTGGCTGATTCAGAAAGTCCTGCCGACAATGGTAGGACAACATTAAATCTGACTTGTTCGACAACCAATAAGAAACCTCTTCCGGATCGTGGAACATGGAGCACCAAGCTGGATTTTATTCTCAGTGTGGTAATATTATCATGTCGCTAAATATCCTATTCAATGTATTATTATCAACAAGTACATAAGTACATTTGATGTATATGCTTTAATATTGTTAAATATAATATAATTATCGATCAAAAGTGCCTCCAGGATAATACGCTTTAATCATTATCATAAACGCTTTAAATTTCCTCAAAAATATTTTTACAAATATCGATCATTCATAAAGAAGTATAAAATAAAATGTCTCCACTATTGATAATGATATGTCTTCATTATAGTTTCACTAGCTTTTTTTTTTTGAAATTCACCATTTCACCATTTCTTCAAGGTCGGTTTGGCAATCGGTCTCGGCAACGTTTGGCGATTTCCGTACCTCTGCTATAAAAATGGCGGCGGTGCTTTCCTAATTCCCTATTTCTTGACGCTGTTTCTGGCTGGTATACCCATGTTCTTCATGGAGCTGGCTCTCGGACAGATGTTGACGGTGGGCGGCCTTGGAGTCTTCAAGATTGCGCCGCTCTTCAAGGGTATCGGTTATGCCGCTGCAGTCATGTCCTGCTGGATGAACGTCTATTACATCGTTATCTTGGCCTGGGCGATTTTCTATTTCTTCATGTCAATGCGAAGCGGTGAATATATTAAATTTATCAAACACCAAACTGCTTTCTTTTTTATTTAACAACTTATCGAATATCCTTTACTTAATGATGAATAAATGACTTTTATTGAATGTTATATATAACTGTCTCTCGTTGTAGAATTGCCTTGGGGTAGCTGCAACAATTACTGGAACACCAAGAACTGCGTGAATCCTTATGACAGAAGCTCATTGCTCTGCTGGAGTGAGATCTCGGCGAGGAATGGTAGCGTTGTCAAGATGTGCACGGTCAATCACATTAACATGACAGTGGCGGAGCTCACGGATCCTGTGAAGGAGTTCTGGGAGTCAGTATAAATACAATTTTTCATTTGCTCTCGAGTACGTGACGCGCGTAATTTGCGCTTTTCTATCAGCGGGTTTATATCATAAATAAATACTTCTTAAGTATTACTGTTAAGTATTACTGTTTTTTTTTTTTTACTATTATTTAATCTTAATAATTTTGTAACTGCCTCTACTTTTCAGGCGTCGAGCGTTGCAGATCAGCGACGGCATCGAATCTATAGGCAATATTCGATGGGAATTGGCAGGTACGTTATTACTAGTGTGGATAATCTGTTACTTTTGCATCTGGAAAGGTGTTAAGTGGACCGGCAAAGTCGTCTATTTTACATCCCTCTTCCCATACGTGTTGCTCACTGTTCTTCTGATCCGTGGTATCACCTTGCCCGGCGCCATGGAAGGCATTCGATTTTATATCAGTCCAAATTTGTCCAAGCTCCAAGAATCCGAGGTATATTTTTTCTCATCTATTGATTTCTGAAGCTTATTTTAACTTTCAGACAATTTTATAAATATTAATTTTAATTAACGTTTCTCAGATCAACAACATTTTATTTTATATAGCGGCGTCTTAAATAATTATAAAGTTTCTGTAATTTCTATAATTTCAGTTGTATTTTTTACTCAAGATTTTTATTACTAGTATTTCCTTTTATATTTTAAGTTTATTTTATAAATATTAAGCCGTAAAAATATTTTATAAAAAAAATATTTTCTCTCAAAAAATTATATTCTAGTAATGTTGTAAGTATTCTGAGCATATTCTACATTGAGAAAAATGTCTGGTTGGATTAATTGAAATTTCTAGTTGAAAATTAGCAAATCAGAATTTTCTGCTTAAATCTAAAATTTTAATTGAGATAACCGGAATTCGTATTGTGATCAGAATCTTCTGGTTCATTTTCAACCAGACATTTTTCTCAGTGTAGATGATATTTTTTTCTTTATAATGCATTTACATAAAATGGTACTTGTAGGTATGGATCGATGCAGTGACACAGATCTTCTTCTCGTATGGTCTCGGACTTGGCACTTTGGTGGCCCTCGGCAGTTACAATAAATTCACCAACAATGTCTACAAGGATGCTCTAATAGTTTGCTCAGTCAACTCGTCCACCAGTATGTTCGCGGGTTTTGTGATATTCTCGGTGGTTGGTTTCATGGCACATGAGCAACAGAAGCCGGTCGCCGAAGTAGCCGCTTCCGGGCCGGGGTTGGCTTTCTTGGCTTATCCGTCGGCGGTTCTGCAATTGCCAGGTGCACCGCTCTGGTCATGCCTATTCTTTTTCATGTTGTTGCTCATCGGGCTCGATTCCCAATTCTGCACGATGGAAGGCTTCGTCACTGCTATGGTATTTTCTTAAAAAGCAATTTATGTTAAATGGTATTTTCTTAGCAATGTTACTCTTCATTAATTTTTTCCCATTCGCTTAAATAATCAAAGTTTAAACATTTACATTTTTCAACAAGAAAAAATTTGATAGAGATTTATCCTTTTTCTTAGATTACTAGAGACTGAAATTTGAGGTATCTGACTATAACTTTAAAAAAATTTTTTCGTTTTAGTCAGAAAAAAAGTTACTCTTCAAATTAATTGATCGATATTTCTTCAGGTGGACGAGTGGCCTCAGCTGTTACGTCGCCGCAAAGAAGTGTTTATCGCTATCGTGTGCGCTCTATCCTATGTCATCGGATTATCGTGCATTTCTGAGGGTGGCATGTACGTTTTCCAAATTCTCGATTCGTACGCCGTCTCTGGTTTCTGCTTGCTCTTCCTCATCTTTTTCGAGTGCATATCAATCAGCTGGGCGTTTGGCGTAAATCGATTCTACGATGCCTTGCGCGATATGATCGGATATTATCCTCTTATGTGGTGGAAGTTTTGCTGGACAGTGACTACGCCGATGATTTGCGTTGTAAGTATTATCTTCTTACGTACGTAAACGGTCAAATAACGCAAAATAAAAAAAAAAAAATAAGAAAGAAATCAACTACCTCTTCTTTTATCTTAATTTATTTTACATATACTTCACTTAAAAATTCTTTTAAGCTTTTTTTAAAACGATTAGTACCACGTGAATTATATTGGATGCAGATTTTGGCACGTAATTTAATAACAATATATAATGTTTAATGTTAAAATCAGGGCGTATTTGTCTTCAATTTGGTTCAATGGACACCTATAAAGTATCTGGATTATGAGTATCCGTGGTGGTCGCACGTATTAGGCTGGTTTACGGCGTTATCTTCCATGCTCTGTATACCTGGATATATGGTCTACGCTTGGATGACCACACCGGGCGATAACAGAACGGTAAATACGAACAAAGAGATCGCGAGAGAAGGTTTTACATTGATAAAAAATATCTGCAATTTATTTTCTCTTGCAGAAATACAAATTGCTAATCCAGATAGAAGACGATGTCGCGACTCTGCGAACAAAGATGGGTCAACCACCGGTTGAGCTAACACCCCTATAATTTACACTTTAATCGGCAGCGCAAGCTCGCCTGGTTTGATAATACAGCCGTTTCCTATCATCCTGTAAAATTGGTGAATTACAAGGAATTAATAGGGATTTATTCTGTAAAGTGATAAATCTTCGAAATCGTGGGAGTGACTTAAAAAAGTTTGTTTAAATGAGAATTCTAAGGATTATTTCTATTATTCGCTTATGGAAGTAGGACTATTACGTTGAGAACGTGAAATGAGATGGGAAATAATCCAAATCGTGTGACTTGACAGAATAGGTTCTTGCCAATTTCTCTTATAATACACCCGCTTTTGTAGGATATCGTGATAACGGTTACTATAAAAGAAAACGCGCGGCCGCGACAGGTCGCCGAGGTCTGGCGTTCCTCGTCATTCAAGATACGATTCGTCACGAAACGGAGAGCCAGCAATTAAACAAACACGCCAGAAACGAACACACCCGACACTGCCCTCGGTCCCTCTTCCACCCACTCGAGAAAAAGCTTCGCTGGCTTTGTACATAAATTATTTATTTGTCATCGTAACGATTATCATGTAACTCCCGCAGGGTAAGTGACAGGTGACGGGGGTTCGCAAACGCTTGCGACATTCTGGCTAAATTGTCGGATTTATCTTGGAATCAAACGAAATCTATGGATCTGTATCATTGAAAAAAAGTTTTAAATTTCCTTCATTCATTAAAATTGTTAAGTTATTAATTTATATTCTAAAATATTTTTGCATTTACCCTTCTTTTGGATAGCTTCGGCGGTTCAAATTCCCATACACAGCACAGATCTTGCAGAATATATACTATAGAAACATTGCTGTTAAAAATGTTACAATTACAACAACAATGTTGCCGAAAAAGTTTGTACAGTATGGATTGCGCGTGATTTCCTTGTAGAAAAATTGCCAGATTGTCGTTATGTTTAGGACACACATGGGTGAGTGAGTGTTCAGTTAATCGCTAAGTGATATCGGTGCAACCGGCTGTCAGCTCTCAGTAGCGATACCCGGTGATCATATCATTCATCAAACTTATGTCATGAGTCTTATAGTCTTATACGTGTGTTTGCACTTATTGTTACGTCCGTACTTTCGCATCAATTTAACGCTGCGATTGACGCACAAAGTGCGGCTGCGTCTCCCTTTTCGAAGATTATCAATTTGATCAATTTGGATAATGATTATCAATTTACGGCGAGCGTAAGACATAACGCTATCATCATGAAGAATTATTATAAGTAAGACGAGTACGATGATGTTGGTAGTTGGTAGGCAAATCAAGGAGCCGTACAGTCAAATTTTTCTTTATTTGCGAGTGATTCGTATTAATAATGTAACCGGGCGTTTCAGATCGCCATCCGGCCGTTTATTACAGACAATACGAATGTCGGAATCGTGCCCCGTGCGCATATTTATGCTGCCATAAATTATTATAAATAGACGTGTTTTACGCATCGCATCGCTCTTATTTAATAAAACGTGTTAGTGTTACCTAATTTATTTCGTGTACCTGTCATTAGATCTGCAGAGCGTCGGCAGAGCGATAGCAACGATAGCGAGATAGTCGACTACGAGATGACGAAGCGTTCAATATGGATGTGGCAATACCGCGAGATTTTAGAGATGACGATCAAGTGGAACAAAAGATGTAATCCTGATATGTTATTGCTGTTCATAATTATATATCGTATTTATCTTGCTTGACATTTGTCACATGAAGTGTTGAGTGAAACTCTTTCGCACGCATATACTATAATATATATATCATACTAATTCTATTCATGAAATTATTAAAAAAAAAAAGAATTACATCTTTTATTCCACTTTGCACAAGTATAGTTATACACATATATATATAAATCGCGAGATTTTGCGATTTTATGCATATGCCCAATTTCGCTCGTTGCAGCGTAAATTCGACGCTTAGCGCGATAATTAGATTTATAATAGGCATCAGTATGATATTGGAATTATTTATTGTTAGCGAGCTAACGAGCTTCACTGTATTTTATTTTGTTTTACTGATAGTACAAATAATAAATTTCAAATGTGTATTAATAATGTGAAGTTGCAGTTAGAATTTTACAAGTTTACTTCTTCATAGGAGATATATTTTCTACATTTATACTACTATAAAGTTTATGTCTACCAATGATAGATTTAATAGAACTTTT